TCAACATCATCACTCAAATGTAGCAGATTGTGGATATTGTGTGAGACATATTCATCGCCATATATGGTTTTGAAGGTATCAACAAAATATTTAAGGAGGCTGTTTGCATATTCAATTTGGTGAACAAATTGTTCACTTGCTAGGATAGTCATGGCAACATATAAAGTGGGAAAATTTATGTATTTTTCCCTTCTCAATACTTTTTGTAAAATAACTGGGCCAATGTAGAATAAGAATAATCTGAATTCGGTTGCCTTCCATCTCCAGGCTTCTGTCAATGACCTGGTTTTGCGATTGAATTCTGAAGGAATTTCTGATTTAAGGACTGAAATTTGTTGAAAAGATAATTTTGTACCAAGGCATCCATCGATCCATAAGTTAACTATTAGTTTCTTAACCACACCACAACAAACAAGATGCATATATTCATTAGGAAAATTTTGAATCATATCAATACCCGGCAAATTTTGTAAAACAGAGGTGCCTGTATGATGTTGTTCATGTATTTTATTCCTGAAGTCTGAATTAGTTCTCATGATGAGATTGTTCGTTTCTGGAAAACAAATTCTTCTATTAATATAAGTACCCTCTGCTGTACATTTTGTACAAGAACTATAACCGCTATGACCTCTTGTATATTTGATGAAACTTTCAGCTGGTACATCACAAATGAAAGCTTTTATATTCACATCATGATGCTGACCATTGCATGAAATGCCATTATTGATAATACCAATAGCCTCATCTATAAACTGTTCAAGAAAATTGTTAGCACTATTGGGTTTATCATTCCCATGATAAATACCTATCATCTGGACATCTGTAGTGACACCAAACAGTTCACATAATGTAACATTGACTACTGGAGCTCTTAGCTAGGGGTAATCCATCAACATTAATACTTGAATCTACAAAATTCTGCTTAACTTGACCTGATTGAACACTTATCAACCTCTCAACAGCTTTTTGAAAGCCAAAATTAAAATACTGCCCTGGTTGTACACATTTAAATTCTAAAGTTCTTTCAGTTTTCAACAAAGTTCGTGGATCTGAAGGCAATACAGGATGCATGGGTTTCAAAATAGTTAGAAGTGATTTGAAGGCTGATTGAGATATATTATTTTTGAGTGACCATTCTGCTAATTGCAACCCCAAAGAATTTTCAGGAATAGGCATGTCTGGTGTTATTTGGATGAAGGGATCTGGAAGTTCATTAGCGTCATTGGAATCAGAATCTATTATTTCTGATGAATCTAATGAGGTAGAATTCATTACAGACAAATTTGATTCTGCAGGGTCACAATTAGTATTATATATAAATAGAGTCAACATGTGAAGAAGAGCAAGCAGCACTAACAACGGGTTCTGAAGAAAACTAAGAACTTAAATTAACAATTAGCAATTAACAACTATAAGGAGGCGTTTATAAACATCATTTACTAAAAATTGAGAATTAGGTTTTTTATTGCTTCGTGCTTGACGTTTGGAGTAAAGAATCCGTTCTGGGCGTTCTGTGATAAATGATCATTCATCATTCATTCTTGTTTTTGGTTATGTTATGTTATAAAAGGGTTGATTTCTCTTCTGATTAAAAAGATTTCAGAAGATGAATAGTTATTTAGTGAACAATAACAATAATAATGGACGACGGAGAATTGATAGAGAGGGTGTCCCAGTTCAGACTACTCGATGACAAGAAAAACATGGATTTCAAAAACAATGTCAAAAAGGAAAATGCTTGGCAAGCGAGATAGCCACTATAATGGGAGTTACTCGTGAGTATTTTCATGAAAAGTGAAGTTAAATTCCAATTTTAAACAATTTGGTAGCTACAGCAGAAAATAATCCTTATTAATTTCAGCCATAGAATGTGATCAGCGGTGGACTGTTTTGAGGAACAAGTATGCCACCTTGAGAAGATCATCAAGGAACAGACCCTCAGGATCAGAATCCTACTCAATAACTTGGCCATATAATGAACTAATGGAGTTTTTAGATCCCTTCATTATTCAACGAAAGTAAGTATTTTTATATAGAGTTTTCATAGTCAATATAAATATTGTTTCAGGACTATAACTAATTTTTCAGCTCCTCAGAGTATTCCTGAATCTAGTGCTCAGTATAGTGGTATCCACAATATCATAACTGACACTGATTCTGAGGAAGAAGTTCATAATTCTATGGATGAAGAAGATGAGCCAATTGATGATACTCAGGCACTCTATGAAAACTTCATAGAGAAGCGAAAACTTCCAGCTAAAATTCCACCGACCAAAAGAATCAAATCCATTGTACCAGAGCATTCTGCAGAAGTCAAAGAAAAACCAATTGACCCAACCCAACATTTCAAGGAAAGTCAAATCCTCAATAGAAATAAAATGGCTTCGAAACATAAAAAAAACAAAGGATAATAATAGTGATAAAGATGGCATTGTCAATGAATTAGGGGGTTTCCTAAGTTCATTTGAGAAGTTCATTGACAAAAAACAAAACTCAGACAGAGAGGATGAGGACTTCGTGAAATCATTGTCTAGAGATCTCTCTGTTTTCTCACCAGCCGAAAAAATCTCCCTCAAGAGACAGTTCTATAAATGTATGGATAAAAAACTGAGGGAGAAAGAGAACTGAAATCTGATGAAATATGTATTTTCTCATAATGGGACCTGATTAGTGTAAATGAGTGTTATTCTGTTTCATTTTCTGAGTTTTGGAGAATTTTTTTCTGTTATATCTGGGAGTGTCTAGTTCTGACTTCACTTTCGTTTTATATTATATTCTGTTTCATTTTCTGAGTTTTGGAGAATTTTTTTCTGTTATAACTCCATCTGGGAGTGTCTAGTTCTGACTATACTTTTGTTTTATATTATATTCTGTTTCACTTTCTGAGTTTTGGAGAATTTTTGTCTGTTAGACAGCATATATACAACAAAACATGTATACAACATAACATATATGTACAACACAAACATAAATATACAACACAAACATATATATACAACACAAACATATATACAACACAACATATTCTATAGAACATAACATATATACAACTATGATACCTACAATTAGGAAATAATAATTAATGTGGAGATATATGTTGAATTGAGAAAACCCAATCACGAATTTGTTATTAATAAAGGTATGAAAAGCAAATTTCCATCCTTCAACTTGGAACCCCTTGATTGGGTATGGACATTTTGAAAAAGAATATTCTCAGTCACAGGTATATTGAAAACATGAAAATGATGGAAACAAAGAGATACCTCTGTATATTGAGAATTCACATTCTCTATTGACTCAATATGATAAAATGGCTATATGCCATGATGGACATTAAATTTTATATTTGTTGAAAAAACACTGAAGAATTTCAAATAAAAAATCTGAAATTGAGAATTTGCACAATAATGGTTTTTCAATAAAAAAAAACAACATCCGTGAATTATCATGAATTATGATAGTGTAAGTACTGATCAATTAGTTCCTATTATTTTTTTACTTCGAATCATTCTACTTCATTTATATTTTTCACATCATTAAGTTATGAGTTACATAACATTATTTTACTATGGAATATCGATTGTATTCTGAAATTTGACTCAACATTATTTGCATTCAAGGAATTTGATTGTCTTGTTTCATAAGTAAGGATTGTATTCTATTATTAATAGTATAATTTCTGCCAAAAAGTATTCCTAGTATAGCTTCTGAAAGATCTGAATTTAGAATGCACTTTATTGTTTTATTTTGTAATTTCATTAAGTGGTCTGTCTCGAACGTGTGATATTCGAATTTACCCACATAGATAGGTGGTTATACCTAAAGACAAATATAAATACTCTTCAAGAATCTTACCGGTATCAAATTTCCAAGTGAATGAAATATCCAGTGATAGGATCTAATCAAATGGAATTATTCCTGGACATAAATTCACAATTGCTGAACAAACAACCACAACTTTGTCAATCAGTGCATAATTTTCATCTCCTTTTTTTAGAGAATGTATTGGAAACCCCTCCGACAAAGGAGTCCAATTACCCTTTCCACATAAATTCGAACACTGGCAAGTTTTCTAGTGGTTTCAGTATCGACAGCGTTCAACTGCTTTCTCTTGTTGAAAAAAGAAGGATACTGAACTTCTCCACAATAGACATTAACAACATCATCAATATTGAAACCTCTGTCATCTAGGACAAGGTCTCCTCTGATGAGATTATCCAAAAATCCTGAAACTTCTATAATGAATTTATCACTGGCCCGACCACCATAAGCATCAGAAATGAAAATAATTACTCCTTGAGGTAATATGCCAATCAGAAATTTCATGGTGTGGTGATGTTTGTAGTGAAACCAAGTCCTAGGCTTCAGGATTTGAATATTTCTGAATAAATACCTCGAAGCAGTCAATTATCACTGTGGTCCTATTGCTGAGAAACTTTTTTGAAACATTGAGGCATTACAAGCTGCAAATCCTCTCTAGAGTCGAAGCTTCATTAATGTGAGCAGTAGTTGTTGAAATCTTGATAACTTACTATCGACTAGATATGGTCCATGAATTCGAAAAATATTCTCTACATACAAGCATTGAGGAAATCCAGTATAGTATAATACTATATCATCATGTTTCCTCAAGTAACTCTCATCTAACTTGAGACAGTTCAGCTTTTCCGTCAACTTGTTTATTTGTGATTGAGCTTCTAGGAGAGCGAACCCTGAATCCTCAGTTTTCATCTCACATTCTTCAGCCTCTTCAAATTGTTGTAATCAGATGTACTTGGGAAATCATGCTTTAATGAATCTAATGAATTGGTAACTGGATGAAATAAGCTTTGCTATGCAGTCTAAAAAAAATACAAGAAAATATCCACCCAGATGTTGGCTAATCCAAGATAGCTGAGCTATGCGATGCAGTCTGAAAAAAAGTAAAGGCAAAAAAATATCAACTCTGCTATTGACCAGTCTTCTATAGAATACCAAAAATCCATGTTTAGTACCTGGATTTAGTTTTGTAACCTTTTATATACATCAGAAATTGGATCCGTATTACTTTGATCAAGACTTTGATCAATTCCATGTCCCATATTGATGAATGGTACCCAATCAAGATGATTTTCGTCATGTAAAGAAGCTGGTTCACCTGCAACAATCATCAAAATTGAATATTCCATGATTTGTAGGTATTTGGTTCCCAAATGAATCTTAAAAGAAAATATGAACAGAAATCCACTGTTTCAAATAGCATCAGTCAATATACAGATCACAGCTTGGAGAGTTTAGTCAGACAATGATGAAAGTTGATTCCTCTTTAAAATGAAATACTGGTGACCTGAAGAAAAAATAAATTGAATCTAATCATGTTATTTCATAATTCACCAGAGTGAAAATGTCTACAACACACACGACCATATTTCGTCACAAATTGCACAAATCTACGCTTCTTGTCTTCTTTTAGAAACTTCGCAGATCTTCTTTGCCTCCTATCGCAGAAGGGCTCCTAAAGAGAAATAACAAAATTCTAAACTGAAAACTGTGAGGATATGATTGAGACCACAGTACTGTTTGATAACGATTGACCTGAAAAAACGTAATCCTTCATCTCTCGCTGCATTTCTTCTACATTGTACAACGACACAAGACGACGGCATGTTTGAATCAATAAATATACCACAAACCACGATTCGTTATCCAAAAATCATAAGTGGAAACCAATTCCAATCGTTTCGAAAAACAATGTAGTTTATCTATGACAGATATAAAAATACAAGAAAATTGAGGTTATATAATTTATTTTGCCTCCAGGGTCGGTCATCAGATAGTTCTTGCACGCGACCTTTAGCTTGCAATAATGTTCTCTTACATGAGAGGCCCTTACCTCCTTGGATATTTCATCTTTGGATGAATCTTTGAAGGATTCAATATATCTCTGATACTCACAACAATATTTTCTTGCACTGATTTCGCAGTAGTGTTCCATATGGTTTTGGAGACTCTCTCCTTGTGATTACTACCATTTATTCTCCGTATTTTGGATGCCCAGTCTTCCAGAATGAATGTCATCAGTTTAACGGTGCTACTTCCTGTATCTAATTTGTTCCTGCATTCCACACAGTGCATCATAAATTGTTTCCATATACATATGAGATTCAGATTTTTTTGTATTTATAGCTACATTTCCATAAATATTCTGGTTGATAACTTCATTTGGAATTGCACCAAAGCGACTCATTCTGACGTCTTCGGCTTGTGATTGGTTGGATTGTGTTGAAATTTCAAGGTGAGTGGAATAGTCATAAGTAATCACGATATTCTGAGTATTCGATTTAACTCTGTTGCTTCATTGTTCACGGAATTGTGTTGCCGAGAAACACCACGAGTCCATCAGGACGAGTTGTATTGCTGTACGGCAACACAATTGAGTTTATATTGGAAGACAGAATTATGCGAAGATATTCAGAACAGAGTGGTATTTTGCTAGACTATTTCACGTTCACGGAGCATAAAGACATTCATTGTGAATGATTCATTCTGACAAATACAGCCATAATCATTTGAGGCCAAACTCACACTCCGCTTCGCTATCCATGGTTGCATCCATACTTTGCTTCGCTATCATCAATGCTGATAGACCAATCAGAATTGATATACAGCTAATATTTGTGCGATAAGCACACGTTGCCTCTGGCTTGGTCAGATTGTGTGATGAGTGAATTAGTATCACGATATTCTGAATATTCGAGATAATGCTGTCGCTTCATTTTTCACGAAACAGTGTACGGAAACACAATTGAGTTAAAAATGAAAGACAGAATGATGAGGAGATATTCAGAATAGAGTAGTATTTTGCTAGACTATCTCACGTTCACGAAAAATATAAAGCATTTATTATAAATGACAATCAACGCTGATAGACCAATCAGAATTTAAAGATAGCTAATGTTTCCGCGATAAGCACACGTTGTCTCTGGCTAGTGATTGGTCAGATTTTGTCATGATTGAAATAGTCAACAAAACAATCAAACATCAACAATGTTCGCTACAATTTCGATTGCATCTCCTGCTTATCTGTCAGAATCAATCCTTCAAATGATAAATACAGTTGCGTTCATTGATATCAGGTAGTTCTGATAGTCTTATATCCAGTGAAGTAGCGAATTCCTGGAAAATGAAAATATTTCCTTGTACATCTAATGTAGCGATGGCCTCCACGTCTATGGTTTCTCAAGTGAAGAATGTACATGGAAATTCTATATTGTTGAAACCGAACGATTCAGAGAACATTCAGGGGTTGAAGTCAATATTGGTAAACCTAGAGATCGTCTGACTATATGCAATTTAGTTCTTAGTAAGATTGATCCCAAATTTGAGACTGTCGATTGGAAACATATAGCTGTTAGATCTCGTGGATTTTCCTTTAATGATTTCAATTTCATTGAAATAAAACTTAAGAGACTATTGGAAAGAAATATTAACTTCAAGTGGAGCTCACATAATGCGTATGTTGATTAATTATTCCCAAACAATCAATAAGTTCACACTGCTGGATGCTTATTCTTTACCTTGGCTAGGGGATATTGTCAATCGAATATCAAACTACGGAAAGTTGGGTATAATTGATCTGCTCACCACCAGATACCTATCATAAAAAACCCTCGAAAAAACCTATGCCAATTCCGAAGAATTCCATTCGGAGTGATCAATGGAGTTGCGTGTTTTCGGAGAACTATCCCGAATATATTCGAGAACGAGGGTCCCAAGGAGACTTTTGTATACTTGGATGATGTCACCATCTGTGGATCGAATAAGCTACATCATGATAACGATATATTGACAAATCTTCCCCAATGCTGCTGGAGAGTATAATTCACTGCTGGACAAAGAGAAATTTGTGTTTTCTACCGACAAAATGAATATTATCGAATATAGTATTAATAAGTAGACAATTGAACCAGATGCAGACAAGTAGAAGTAGTAGTAGTAGGTGAGGAGGCTGTAGCCAAGCAAGTAGGCCCTGATGGGACCTTCTTGCCAACCCCTGCTCTCCACATATATACGCTTCCTTCACCTAGATTTCCTTTACGCATCTCCCTGACCTTCTGGTGAAAGTATGTCCATCCACTCTAATATAATCAAGTCCTCCTGTTGAAGTTTGTCTACTCCAAAGATTTCAAATCTCAGCCTTCCGTACGCCTCACACTCGCCGAGGAAATGGACAGACGTTTCCTCGTCTTCCCCGCATCTGCAGCAAGTGGGGTTGTCCTCTATTCTCATAAGTGATAGGTGTCTGCCTAGCCTGTTGTGTCCTGTGAGTACTCCTATGAGGAGGTGGAGTACTTGGCGGTCTCTGCCAAGCAGCCACTCCTTCCTTGATTCGCTGGACCGGCCATGAATTCCTTGGCCTGCCTGCAACCTGTAATATTTCTACAGTATTCTCCTAGTGCCTTGTCCGCCCATTCATCGAGGGCTGACGTAATTTGGCTCCTTGATATACCTAGTACAGGCTGCGGTCCCAGGAACGGCTCCGCAAGGTCGTCTACTGTTTCGTTCCCGGGCACCCCACTGTGACCCGGGACCCATACCAGTTCAACTTCCTTTCATTCTGCTAATATGCCAAGGGCATTTCCACATTCCTGTACCAATGCTGAGCTCGGTCTGGGATGACGAATAGCCTTGAGTGCTGCCTGACTGTCCGAACAAATGTAGATCTTCTGCTCTGGTCTCTCTTTCACCTCTTGCCTCTTTGCTACGACCAGGATGGCGAACACCTCAGCTTGAAAAACTGTGATGTATTTTTCTAGAGCGTAGCTTTCTCGTATGTTTCCCCCTTCGAGATAGATTCCTGCACCCGAGGCCTGTTTGTCAGTCAGGCGGGATTCGCCTGCGTAACATACTAAGCTTCCTGGGCGAAACTCCACTGTATTGTTTTTTCCATTCTTCTTTGCTTGGAAAAGTGAGTTTGAACTTTCTATTCCATCTCAGCCTGTCCTGCACTTTATTCACTCTGAGAGTGGAGATAGGAATCTCTTGCTCCACCCATTCTGCTATTTTTGCATGTCCTGTTATTGTCCCTTCACTTGCCCAGTTGTCTGAGCCCCGCATCCTCAGGTGGGCCTCCATCACCTCCTTCTTTATCCAGATTTGAAGCGGTGGTATCCCCGGCATTACTTAATCTAATGCTGCCATTGGCGTCGTCCTCATTGCACCTATTATTGCTAGGCATGCCATCCTCTGGACTTTACTTAGATTGCGACCTATCGTAATGGTTTCTGCGCCAGGCTACCACACTGCCGACCCATAATGGATCTTTGTTCTCACGACTGCTGAGATCCAGTCAAACTGAAAGCACTTCTAGAACTTATATAGAAAAAATTATATAGCTTCTTTCCATCGTGTGATGGGCATGTTTGCTCATTACTCAAAATTGATGCCAAATTGCTCCAATGAAATTTAACTATTGGAACAATGTAGATCGTTCCCTATGTCTGGAACATCATCAAATCATCTGAAATTCCGAATTGACGATTCCGCCATATTCACCGTAGAAACCGATACTTCAGGATTTGCTATCGCATCTATCAACTCTATCAGAATGAAAAACTTTTTTAGTACCAAACAAAGGCATTCGTCTGTTGAATAAGAAACGTACGCCATTGTGGAATCTAATTGGCCGTCATTTTCGACGGATCACTGCTCAGATATCCGTGTCTTTATTGTTTGACCATGAAGTTTCGAATAGGATCTAGAATGAGGAGAACATGCGGTGGCGGGGGGATATCATATACAGACTTAGCATCGAGATTGCAGTAGCTGATATTTTCACAATAATAACATCAACGTCAACACAAAATGTGAGCATCGAGACTGGAATATCCCAGATGAATCATTGGATCAGGTGTAAAATGTTACCATTTTTTATAGAAAACACCCGAAAATAAATAGAACTCTGAAAAAATCAACATCTCTTTTCGTAAGATTTGATGTAGACTTCAAAAGACTTCACAGAGGCGTTCACAAAAATATCCTTAGAAGGGGCAGGTACATATGAAAAAAAGTTACTACACGACCCATATACAATAAGCGAATTTACACCTCCAAAAGCGGGAGTACAGGATACAGAGTACGTCCTAGGTTGAAACTTTT